AGAGGTGCTGACTTTTTACATGAGCTCACGTGGAGAGGCTGCCCAGGGCCACATCTTTGCCCGAGGGCTATGGGAAATATCTTTCAGTCCTCTAATTCCCCAGGCATTATGTGGGAAGCTTTGCTCCCTCCAGATTCTCCGGGCACAATGTAAATATGTGGGGTGGCTCCTGTCTGCAGCACTGAAGACCATCAAATTCCAGAAAGTCCAGAACACCCTGAAAAGCTCAGCAGAGACACCGCGGGCTTGAAAAGTGAGCAGCTGACAGTCTCAAGGACAGGCGTTCCCAAAGGTGGGCAGGGGAGATAATTTTCCTCTAGGCATGCTCTCTCCCCACCCCCACCCAGTCCCCCTTTCTGCTAGAGTAATTGGCCTGAACCCGCGTCAGATCTAGTCACTCCCTGATTCACAAACCCTAATGGCTCCCAACACCTGCAGAATGAAGTATAAACACTTTCATGAGGGATTTCAGGCTGTCACTGCGTGACCCCAGGTCATTCCAGCCTCATATCATCTTACGTCCGTCCGTGCACTCGGGGCGATGCCCCAGCCCACTGGACATCTCACCCTTCCTTAGATTCTATGTGCATTTCCCCATCGCCCCCGACATCTGTGTTCTGGGCTGCAAGGCCCTCCCTTGCCTTTCTGGTCTACCAATATTTTTCTTATTCTTCACCGGCCCACTGACACGGTGGCCCACTCACCACCCCTGTCCCTGCTTATTATTATTGCTTTAATTTAATTCTGCCTTTGATTAGAATTCATCGTGCAAATGTCTGTTCCTCCCTCCTTTGCCACTTTTTTTTTTTTGAGGACGTGGACCATGTCGTATGAATTTTTGTTTTTCCCACACCCCCTGTTATATAGTCCTGATCACTGCAGGTGGACACATAACGTTTGTTGGGTAAAGGAATGGGGAGTTGACCTGCGTCCTTACTGCAGCCGGTACTCCCCCGGGCATCGGGCATCGGATTTGTGATAAATGCTTCACTATTTAAACAAGAGGAAACTGTTTGGGAGGTCTTTGGAGGAGAAAGGGCCCTGGAGCAAGACTCAGAAGACTTGTGTTTGGATGTTGGCTGGGAAGGCAAGGGGGTCGCGGGCCGAGACTGCAAATGGTTCCCCTTTGCTCTCCGTTCTCCCCTTTGCTCTTATGAGGAGAACACTCCAGTTTTAGCTGAGCTCATGGCCGTCCAGCTGAAGGCGACTTTGCTTTGTCATCCTCGAAACCAGGCATCAAGATTTTGGCCAAAGGAGCGGAAGACGTGTGAGCATCATCAGATGTGTGCCTTTAAAATGAAAGGAAGATCCTTCACTTCCTCTCTTTCCGCGTAGGAATGTGGGTCTGAATGGAGTCACCGCGTATATTGGATCACAGGGATGAGGACAACCTCCTGGTTGGGGATGGCGCCACCTGCCCCATCTGCAGTCTTGCCTAGTGAGTATTGTAGCCTCATCCTTCCTTAAGACTCCATCTTGCTCAGCCTAAAAATCTTAGGATTATCTTTGATTCCTCATCCTGTCCAAGAAAGAGCCGATCCACTAGCAAATCCCACTGGATCTACTTCCAGATATATCCCATCATCTCTACAGGTGCCAGCGCCATTACCTTTACCTGGATTACACAGGAGCTGGTTATGACCTCACAGCATTTATCCTACTCCCCACCCCCATTCCCTACCACCAGTCTATTTCCACAGAGAAGCCAGAGTGACTTTTTTTAACTCGTAAGTCATTTAATTCACCCCCTTCCAAGCCCTCCCAATGCTTCCCACCCCAATCAGAGATGAGTAGTCGTAGCCATAGCCCAGAAGGACCTTCAGATGGGGTCTCTTACCTCCCTGAGTCTGTCTACCACTTCCTCTCACTGCCCTGCTCCAGCTGTTAGCAGCTCCTTGCTGCTCCCCACACACTTGGTATACTCTGGTCTCGGGGCCTTGGCCCGGTGGTTCCTTCTGCCTAATGATCTTCCTTCAGATAACCACACGTTAACTTGCACAGTTGATGTTGCTTGTTTCAATGTTAGCTTCTTAACGAGGCCTACCCTGAAAATTCTATTTAAAATTGCAACCCCACCTCTATCACCACCTCCTCATTACCCGCTTGCTTTGTTCTTCTTAGCACCTACCACCTTCTAACATACCTTATAATCTACTGTCTATGCCTCCCCCACAAGAATATAAGCTGAATGTGGGGAACAATATATATATATACATATTTTTTCACCACTGTGTCTCCTGTGCCCTGGTGTATAATAAGTACTCAATGAATATTTGTTGAAGGAATAAAAATCATAAGGATTCTGAAGTTCCAGCACCATGGAGCTACTATATCCCTGGATGGTTCTATGACACAGAAATAAGTTTCTGCTTTTGTCAAGTTGGGTCTTGGTTCTGGCAACTGACTCCATGTCCTGATACAAAGCTTAGGAAGAGACTTGGAAGACACCACTCAATCCTATCACTCCCCAGCGTGCAGCCCATCACAATGAAAATTTCTGATTCTCCTCATCAACAAATCAAACGAGATCAATTTGATCTGCCCTCGACTTCGTTCCGCTTCTCCACCTACTATTCTCACTCACGTCTGTTTCCTCATTAGGGCCTTTGCGCCGACTGTTCCACTTGCCTGAAACCCTCCTCCCCAGCCTTAGCCCCAGATTTTTACAGGACTGCCTCCTTGTCATCAGTCCACCATCCACCACCCCAGAGAGGTCCTTCTTGGACATCCGACCTACAAAGAGAGCCATCCCTGCCCTAGGATCCCTCTCTACCCTTGCACCCTGCTTTTTATTCATGATAGCACTTAACATAATTGCTCATTAAACTTCTCATTATTTGCCTGTCTCCATGGGGAATTGGGAGTCTTATCTATCAGCTCCCATCCTCTGTTGGTAGAAGTTTGTATCCATGGGTCTTAATTCCTTGCTCACACCAAAATATCCCAGGGACAGAAAACAAAGATGTCTAGGTTCATCTCTGAGGTGGCATGCTCTCAGCGCCAAGTGATGGAAGCCCTCAGGGAGCGGCTCAACTCAGAGGTATGGCTGAGGAGCTGTTAGGGGGCTTTAGAGGCTTCTGATAGACATCATTCTCTCCCCATGCCCCCCCCCCCGCCATGTGTAAGCTTTATGAGAAGGGGGCTTTATCTGTCCAGTACTCTATTCTTAGTGCATACAGCAGTGCCTGGACTTAGCAGGTATTGGGCAAATGTTAACTGAATGAATTCATTAAAATCCATAGATGTTTCTTTGTCTTTTTCCTCACCTGTAGAAGGGGAACCATGACCCAGTTGATCTTGCAAGGTTGTTGTGAGAGTCAAATCTAATAAAACATGAAGACGCTTAGCACAGGCAAAGACCACAGAAAGTTGTAAGCTATTATGATTCGGCTGTGTGATTTTGATCCCGAGAAGATCACTTACTTCTTCTAGACCTCAGTTTGTCAATAATCGGAGTTTTACCTTTCTCCAAGTTGGAATAAGAGCAAAATGTGATGATACGCATGAGTGACAGTGTTGTATAGATTTACATTGTGATTATCGCTCACTCATCCTTTTGAGTTGCAGGGATTAGTCACAGCCGGGCAGGCAGGCAGAAATCCCTGTCCTCATAAGGCTCCTCGTCTAGTGGGAGAGACCAACAATAAAATGAATATATACATTAGGAGCCGGCTCTGAATCTTTGCGTCTTAGGCGATCACTCGACCTTTGTGGGCCTCAGTATTTAGAACAGGACTCAGTCATCTGCCAAATCCTATGGGCTCTGACTTTTTAAGTATGAACTTAAGTGGAGAAGCTGCTCAGAAAATGCAGTTTGCATAAAGACTTTACAGAGAAGGGGAGCCAGCTGAGTGTTGTTGTTAAATTACATCGTGCCCCAATCAGGATACGCTAAGCAATGCCGCGGTGGCCAACAGCTCAGTGGTTATAGACACTAAAGGTTTACTTCTCGCTCACACTACCTGTTCCCTCTACTTTGTCTGGGAGCTCTTTGATGTTGGCCTTATTCGGCAGAGGCTCTACCACTTGGAATGTCTTAAGTTGGAGAGGTGGAGAATCCAGGGGGCTGGAGAGTCCGTCACACGCTGGCAATGAATTGCTCCAGCCTGAAAGGGACACATCACCTCTATTGGCCACTTATATGGTCTTGCTCAGCTGCTAGGGGACAGGGGAGTATAATCCTCCCACATACTTGAAGGGGAGGGAAATGCAGATGGACAATCACAAGGATTCTGGAGTCCCAGCAAGGGACTACATCTAATAATCTGCTTTTTCCACATAAGAGGTCACAAAATTATCTATAAGATGGTCAATATTTAAAAAACTTTATTGGGGGGGGTGGCACAGTCAGTTAAGCATCTGACTCTTGGTTTCAGCTCAGATCACGATCTAGGGGTCCTGGGATTGAGCCCCACATCGGGCTCCCTGCTTAGTGGGGAGTCTGCTTCACCTTCTCCCTCTGCCCCTCCCCTCTCTCAAATAAATAAAGAAATCTTTAAAAAGTAAAAATAAAACTTTTTTATTATGGGAAATTTCAAATGCACACAAAACAGGATAGGATAATGAACCCCCACGTATCCATCACCCAGCAGCACACCACCATTTTTAACTGCCAAAAGCATTTCCATTGTACAAAGGAGTTTTTTAATCATATAAACTCTTGTATGGGACTTTTGGGTACTGCTAAATTTTGCCACTGGAAATCAGACTGCATGAACATCCTTACTCATAAGTTGTCACTTATTTGATTATTTCCATAGGATAAAATCCTTTGGCCTTTTTAGTGATAATTTTCAACCCATCTTTCTCTCCACCAACTAACCTCCTGGTCACTGCTCATTCCCAAAGTAATACAGAGTCACAGGAAAAAGCGAAGGGCCGGGCAGTAGGTCATGTCCAAGCAAAATGTTTTTCAATTTTCAATAATACTCTAGACACACATATCTCAAGGAAAATAAGATAAATGCACAATTTATCAGATTGAAGTTAAATATGATTTGGTGCTCAATTTGGCAGCACATATACTAAAATTGGAGTGACACAGAGATTAGCACTGCCCCTGTGGGAGGTTGACATGCAAACTCCTGATGCGCTCCATATTTTCATAAATAATAAATAAATAAATAAATAAATAAATAAATAACAAAATATTTGTGATTGAAGAGGTTAACATCTCTTAAATGGTTATTTAGTGAGAAATATTCTGAATTTCCCCCCAAAGCTTTCACGCCCTAATCTAAGTGGAGACTACTTCGAGTCAGGGCTTTGCAGTTTGCTAGAAAGACATGAATCCTGGTTTCAGGAATACACTATCTATAAGCTGTGTGACCTAAGTCAAATTATTTGACTTTTTCCAAGCCTCTATTTTTTTCTGTTGGTAAACTGGCAATTCTTAACTCACTGGTGTGTTGTGAAATGTGTTAATGAAACAAATAATGTGTTAATGAAAGCATTTATTACCAGGTCTGGTATATGAAGGGTGCACAATACACATTTCATTCTTTTTCATCCTTTCTTCCTCTTGTATTTTCAGGTTATACTCAAGGATGAGCACTGCAGTGATTTTGAATAACAATTTTCAAGTTGTAGTTCCTAGTGAGCATGTGCTTCTTGATGTGTCCAGCAATCAATAAGAGTGTTTTGAAATTAGTGTTTTTCCATGACACCAAAACAAAATTTTGGAAAATTCTTTCAGGTAAGCTCTTTCTTTGGAAAATTCCCATTCCCTCATTTGCAGCAGCCAAGTGCTATGTACCCCAGGACCCTACACCTTTAAAATTGTTATTTTCAATGTTAATAAATGATTTCATTCATTTCCTGTTCTCCTCTATTCATCAACCTGCCAGCAGCAGTCACACACCGACCTTAAAATAACCGTACTGGTAAACAACTGGTTCAAATGATTAGTAGGATATCTGTAATTGTGTTACGTAGTCAACCCGGTTGGAAACGAGCAGACACGACTCCTCGTATCTAGCTGTGTGAATCGGTGACCGCAAGTAAAGAATAGGTTCAGGAGGGCCTGGAAAAAAGGTACCATAAGACTTGAAATGAGGAGTTCAAGGTTGGTGAGACTAGAAGGTTCTGTTTTGCTCTTGTCATATTCTCCGGCACGCCCGGCACTCGTAAGCGCACAGTAGGGATTAATGAGTACATCTGGGTTGAGTGGATGCTGGAAGGGCAGCAAGAGTTCTCCAAATTCCATTTTGCTCCAATAGTTTTCCAATACCCTTCCTATCTTTAGTGATTCCCTCCATTTGGAGTTTCTTTCCCTCCCTGTCAAACTTCTCCTCGTGTTTCCTACCCTACCTAGGGGCAAGGCTGGCCCACAAGAGTTCAGTCAACGTTGCTGAATGAACAAAAGGTACAGAAGACCTTCTGCAAAAGATACAAGAAGTTAAACTTTGAATGTCTTGAAAAAGAGAGATTGAGAGGGAGAGAGAGGAACATGGGCTGCATGCCTTTGTGCACGGATGATTTTGGAGTGTCTGCCACCAGGTGAGACAGCAGATCGCTGGGGCACTAACGTGTATACTCGCTATTCACAGCTTTCTGATGCTGGAACTCAATTAAGAAAACTCCACAAAGCATTGAAATCCGGCTTCTCAACAGTGATTTTGATGACCTGAGTTGTGTGTTTTTTCATCCTTATTGCTTTCAGATCTACATAAATCTTTTCTCTCTCCGTTTTCCCTCATGTGTGTGAAATGTGATGCTTCTCAGTCCTTGGGTTCTTTGGGAATCCAGACGTTTCACTTCCTCCACATCTGCTATGAAACTGAATATTGATGAATGTGACCCATAAACCCAACCAGTTAAATGGGGTCAATGACCAATTCTTATTGTTGGATTTTTTTTTAGGAGTTTCTATCATTTTTTTCCAATCTCTCTTTCGATTGTACTTTTTTTTTTCTTTAAGGAAAAGACTAAAGGAAAATTATATCAGCAGTAAAGTTCTCAACCACATCTGGGGCTTAAATTCCATGCCTTTTGACAAACATGAACACTGACTATTTCACTGATTTTAAGATAGAAATGATTCTAACCTTGCCACTTTTGTCCTATAAAAAGTAGAGTAATGTGAAGACATACAACACCTAAACATCTCCAGACTTTTCTTTGAAAGTCTCACATATGACAGAGAATAATTAGCAATAAAATAGGGCTAACACTCAGTGATTCTACAGGATGAAAAATATACTTAAGGAGAAAAAAAATGTAACCCTCAAGGGTCTGACATTCTGACTTAGATTGGTAAATAATCTATAAAGGACGGATGCCGGGAAGACTGGGAGAGCAATTTAAGTCATACTATTCCTTTATCCCAAACAGAGTAGGATGCACAGAGTCCTTGGTTACAAAATCCCAATGGGGTGCTATTTATGCAGAATAGAGTGAGACCCTCCATAGTTTGTACAAGTTAGAGACCTGAACGTATGCAAGCAAATGAGCAGAGGCTTCGTCTAAGTAGCCAGGCCCATGCGAAAGCCTTAATCCCAAAATATTGCCTTGTTAAAAACTTTGGAAAAAAAAAAAAACTTTGGAACTCCCTTAAAGGTCTGTGTTACGTTCTTTAGAATATGCTTAATAGCTGCAAATAATCCTTCAATGGTGAACTTGACATTTAGAAATATTAAAAATCTTTAGGTACCAAATCTCATATAAATCGTAGAACCTGGCAAATGTCACTTTTTTTGTTAAAAAAGGAAAGATTTTTGAGGTATTTAGATTAATTTTTCCACGTGACTGAAGTGACTCTCAACATTTTTCCCAAGGAGACAGAAGGTTAGGAGCAAAGGAAGCCTCAATAGAAAAAGCGTGTGGCCTCCTAATGACATAATTTTGAGAATACCAATGTTAATTCGTATTTTATGTATTTTTTCCAAGTCTTATTTTGTTAATATCACATGCAAAATCTAGTTTTATCGTCCATATTGGTGCTTCAGTCTCCTCAGAGATGCAATGAGAATATACGGAGGCTGGTTCAGAGAATGCGTACATTAAAAAAATTGCTCTGGAGATTTCAAATATCAACCTAGATGGAGAACGCTCTTGGAAAAACCTCCCTCTTGAGGCAAAGTACCTAATCCCCCTGCCCGACCCCATTACAAATTTATCAACGTTATGTGAGACCGTTAAGTATAATCATTTCGCAGAAGGGATGACAAAAGGGAGCAATTAAGAGTCAATGCAATTCCTAAGAAAGTTGCATTTTACATTTTACCTGTTGATTATAGACAAGCAATTCCACACAAAATTCCAGATTGTGGACAAAATAATCATCGACCAACCTCTTCCTCTTGATCTTTCTGCTTTCCTACCGAACCCAAGGACGCAGAAGGCCCAATATGTTAGACTTACCCCAAAGCCAGTAAACCACCTCTGCCTTTACAAGGAAAAACCACAAACTCGAAAATAAGATCAGTCTTCGCATACAGCACGATTGGCTCTACCAACCGAGAAGCCTCCCTCCCTCCCATTTGCTTCTACCGCAAGTAGAATCTATTAAGGTTCGTGGGAGCCCTGGGGTGGAGCGGGTGGGGTCCGTGTGTCTGTCTTGTGTTGGCCTGTTATTGCCACGGTGTTCACAGGACCATGGGAGGCAGTGCTGAGTGATCCCTTTTATGTCTAGACAGATATTCATAATGACATAGATGTCTGGCTCTTGAAGTTGACTTCTTAGACCGGAGGTATTTTGGTTTACAAAGGCCCAAATAAGAATGGATAACATTGTCTTGGGTGAAGCCACAGAGACTCGGGGGGAAAATGAGCAGGGGCTGGGCCAGGGTAAGGAGATCTCCTGCTGAAAGTTAAAATGACACCTGCGGCAGAACAGGACTATAGTACTCAGCCATTAGAAACGACAAATACCCACCATTTGCTTCAACGTGGATGGAACTGGAGGGTATTATGCTGAGTGAAGTAAGTCAATCGGAGAAGGACAAACAGTGTATGTTCTCATTCATTTGGGGAATATGAATAATAGTGAAGGGGAATATAAGGGAAGGGAGAAGAAATGTGTGGGAGATATCAGAAAGGGACACAGAACATGAAGACTCCTAACTCTGGGAAATGAACTAGGGGTGGTGGAAGGGGAGGAGGGCGGGGGGTGGGGGTGAATGGGTGACGGGCACGGAGGGGGACACTTGACGGGATGAGCACTGGGTGTTATTCTGTATGTTGGTAAATTGAACACCAATAAAAATTAATTTATAAAAAAAAAAAAAAAAGAACAGGACTATAGTAAGAACCTGCGTGTCACATCATATTGACCTGGAAAGCGGTCTTCAAGTCCAGCTGTCCCAGACGCCCAAGTAACTCCCTTGATCTTCTTCACGCCCCCCCCCCCCGCAACGATTGTGAGTTTTCCTAACGGCTTGTTTTCCTTCGGCATCCTCAGGGCCCTCGATTTTAGCAGAAGCTAGAGCAAGCCTCAGAGGGTTCACGTTACACAGCCTCCATGGCCGTTTCATGAATTTCATCAGAGGCAGAGCTGGTTGGACAAAGAATGGGCTCTTGCTTTTTTTTCTTCCATGTTCCCGTCCTTCCCGGTTTTCCATATTATATGGAATGACATTTGAAAGGACTTTCTCATGACTAATCCCGGTCTGTTAATGAAAGTGCATCATCCATTGGTTGGACACATTTAATGTCTCTGCGTTATCTAGAAATGAGGATGCGATAGAACAGAACAAGTTAAAAAAGAGTGAGATGAGGAAATACTTTCTAAAAACTTGGTTTTGTTTTTTTTTCTTTCTTCTGTTTTCTCCTTTTTAAGCGTTGCCATCATCTGCCTGCCAGGTGGAACTTATTTGGATAATAGAGCACAGATGTACCTTGTCGTACTCAACAGATGAATTCCTGAAAAGCTGCATTTGATAGAATTTTTATAAATTAAATCATATTTTCCTGTAGACTTGCACTATAGTAACAGAAGCCATTATCCACATTTGACTGATCTTCAATTGGCAGAGGCCTCACACTTGGGCTTCAGGTTTCTTAGCCAAATCTCTTATGTCAAACAGTTAATGATCTGGAAATAATCAGCACTTATGTGAGCTAGGGGAGCACTATGCTTAAAGGCAATGTGATTGTATTCCCCTG